TCAACAAATCAGCTCTGGATCGCCTTCAGTCTGTACAGAATGCAGCGGCAAGACTTTTAACTGGTACAAACAAGAGGTTACACATTACTCCACTTCTGGCTTCTCTTCATTGGTTGCCAGTAAATTTTAGGGTTCATTTTAAAGTTTTAGTTGAAAACTTTTTAAGCTCCCCAGTATATCTCTGACCTGTTGAAACCTCATGCTTCATCTCGAGCACTTAGGTGTTCAGGTCAGAGGCTACTGGTGGTCACGCGTACTAGGTTTAAAACACGTGGGGATCTACTGACTCCTTTAAAAAGCAGCTGAAGACATTTTTACACAAACAGGCTTTTAATTAATTTTAACTTGTATGTCTGATCTTATTGTGAAGCACTTTGTGATTTTTATCTGTGAAATGTGCTTTATAAATAAATTTTACTTACTTACACACACAAAAGTTATTCATATGCCTCCTATAAAAACTGTCTGGAAGATGTTTGCTAATTTAGCTTTCACCACAATTTATAAACCAGTATGGCTCTGGTGTCTTTATTTACAGTGGTGCAGAATCAAACAAAGCGGTGTCTGATCTCTACCAATAAATATCTGCATATGAATAAGCAAACTTTGCATGTACAGGAAATGCTTTTTAGTATCAGAAGCTGGTTTTCATTTGAAGTCTTGCATTCTAAGTTATCTTGACCAGTAATGTTTGAGGAAGCTTTATGTATGGATTTAAAAAGCTAATGTGCAGAGGGGAGAATATATTTTCCAAAATGAACCATCAACTTACATCTGGCAAGGATTTCTTGTTTTTTTTTTTGTTGGATTTTTTTTTAATGCATTCATAAACAATGAACGATGCATGGGTCATGGCTCTTGAAACAGATAATCGTATCGCAGCAATAATGAAAAATCTGTTTCAAATCAGCAAGCTAGTAAACAGGTTCCCCACAATGAGTGATGTCTTCATCCTAAGCTGCTACGACTTAACTATGAGTGACGGTCTTTAACTACAAATCTAAACAAACGAACGCATGACTCCAAAGAATGTGGACTCATGTAACAATATTGGTTTTGGCAACGACCTCCAAAATGCAGGGTTGTCCATTACAAATACATGGC